AAGCTGGGATCCTCAAACCTCCTGACGCTACCCCCCCCCCCTGAACCTCGCCCTGATCTGATCTTGAACTTCAAAAGCTCCCACAGCCTACATGGCATCATGGACTGTGGAAGTTTGCGAAGCATCCTCCATGGTGTCGTGACGACCCAGCGATCGCCAGTACTCCTCGGGTCGGGCCACAAGATTCTTGGGCATGGGGCTGGCGTCGGTCCACTGCGACGCTGAGTGGATCGACTTTAGCAAGCTTCACCTCAGAGAGCAAAGGCAGGTACCCCTGTCTCGTTAAGGCTTCGAGGCCTTATAGATGCACGGAGGTGTAATGACATGCACGCACCGGTCCACCCACCCACCCACCCACCCACCCACCCACCCACACACCCACACACCCACACACACACACACACACCCACACACACACACACACACCCGCGCGCGTGCCCACGCATGCAGGTACGTTCGCACTTGCTGGCTTGTCGCACATGTCTGCCATTGAAGGGCAAACGTGCACGAACAACTTGTGCATACTTGTGCAGTTCAGGCTGCATCAGGCATATACGTGCCTGGTGCGCATCCGTCCACCTGTGTCTGTCGAAGCGGGGTCTGCCTGCCGTTGGGTTCATCTGCTTGATTGCTGTCCATCACCGGTCAGGTCTAGGTGCTTTTGGTGCATCTGCTCTGCATTTATCACCTAGATGTGTTTACAGGTCTTTGCTCTGGGGGCTCGTGCCATGGGACCATTGCAGACAGGTCTCCACCGATTGCTCAAGCTTCCGGCGACTGCCTGCCAGAGGACCTGGAAGCCAAAGACTGCGGCCTTCTTCGAGTTCAGGCAGTTCGAGGCATCAAGTTCGAGTCAAGCCAAGGCCAAAGCTACTGCGATGTGGTAAGTACCAGGAGCAATATATGCACATCTGACAATCGCAGTGGTGCGCTGCACGGGGGGCCGACTGAGTGTACTCTGTCCATCCCACGACCTCCTTTGTGCCGAAAAATATCTAGCTCCGGAGCCACCAGACAGGCATGCTGGCATGGTCATGACATGACTAGCTGACTGGCCTCAGAACCTGACTATCAGGACTAGCGACGGGGCTTCGGTTTCAAAATATCCTTGAAGCTCCAAATCCCTTCGCGGAAAACCTGATGACAGTGATGGACTTGCATCTCGGCCTGTGCCCTTCGACAGCGTCTTCACCGCCGGGGGGCGCGGCTTCGCCACTGGCGCTGAGCTGGTGCCGTCGTGCTGGCCAGCGACAGAGCGGTTCGGCAGGTCCAGGCCGGTCCAGGGTGACTATCAAGTTCTTGCTCAGGACTGGAAGGCCATGCTTGGGGGCCCAGGCAGAAATCCGGAGTCGGGATGGGTAGTGGGAGCAACAAACAGCACGTTAGCATCAATACATAGACACAAACGAACGATGGCATGGTGATGGTGATGATCAGGAGGACTGCTGCTGCTGCTGCAGCTGGTGCTGCTGGTGCCGCTGGTGCTGCTGGTCCCGCTGGTGCCGTTGATGCGGGTGGTGCCGCTGCTGCTGCTGCTGCTGCTGCTGGCGTGCAGGCGGCGGTGGTAGTGGTGGCGGCAGTGGCGGTGGCGGCGGCGGCAGGACGCCTGATATGGACCATTGCAGCGGTGTAATCATTAGGATAATCATGCATAGAACAGTGGAACACTGCCGGACGAATGCAAGAAACTAACAACCTCGCATGCTTGAACACCAAGTCTGAACATCAACGTAGCACAGGCATAGCAATCTGCATGCAAACAATAACAAGGAGTCGACCAGAGCCATCAAGAAATCGACAATAAGATGAAAAGACTAGAGCTAGGTCAACAGCTATTTACTGTGCCACCTGAAACAGCACGGGTAGAACCAGCAGTGGCAGCAGGATAAGACGAGCAAAACGATTCCGTCACTGTCGGCGGTAATAACAAAAAGTCGTCGTCATCGTCGCCGTCCCTGTAGCGTAATGTAGAGCAGAAGTAGCATCAGCAGCGGTCGTCGCAGCAGTGCTCGCAATTGTCGCAGTGCACCTGCAGAAAGAAGGAAGACATGCTTTGCCGCTTTGCCTGAAGCCAACACTGCCTGCCGCCCTGGAAGTCTCGATTGCCGGTAAAGATGAAATCCTCACCAGAGGCATCAGATCTTCCGGCACCCTGACACCGGGGGTCCAAGACGGGCCCGTCAGACTCCCAGGTTTATAAACCGGGAAGGACAGAAACGATATGGTCAGATTTGGAGTCTCGGTTTGAAGGAACTAGACCAGATGTTGTTCGGACGACGCGGACTGCTTGTCAGCAGCGCATAGGCTGGCTGTCAGCATTCCGAGGTTCAGGGCTTGGAGACCCTGCTCTCTTGCTCTACAGCCCCTCGCACCAGGGCCCCCAACCCGACCATTGCCCCAGGACACGTAGGAGTTGCGGCTCAGAATCGCATTGAGCCTGAGGCAGCTGCAATCAAGCAATGTGTCGCTGGAAGCCTCTTGGGCCCACTAGGGCCCGAGCCCATACATCGCCTTTCCTGCCGCTTCGGCGCTCGGGGAAAACGGGGCACTCCGAGGCGGGAGGCTGGGGCTGGGTCTCTGTGGGGCTTTAGCCAGCTCTGGCTGCGGGGCGCCTCGCAATCTTTGTCTGTGCAAGCTCGACGTTGCTTTGAGCCGAAATCAAAGCCGCCGTCACAGTGCTGAGATGCTTGAGGACTTTCCTGCTTGAGAACTTGGCATCGGTTTTGCCGCTCCGCGCCAGGCAGACTAATCAGCAGCGAGTGAAGGCCTTCCACTGCGCTAGCTCCCAAGGATCCCTGGATTTGCATGAGGCCCTCGCTCGCTCACTGCTCAAGAGAGGAACGCGATTCTTTGAGAAATGCATGGCCGGCAAGGCTTTCGCGCAGGGACGCTGCCTCCACTGTCCCGTCCTCTTCAAACTGAAACTCAGACCCTCACTACAACTTACCGCGCTGAACTTCTCCGTCCCCTCCCTCCTTCTGTCAGTCTCCCTTTCTTCTCATTCTCCCTCTGTCTCTCCCTCGCTCTTTCGCTCTCTCGCTCTCTC